AAGACCCACAGAATTTTATTTACTAAGATTATGTGAAATGTGAAGGCAGATTATGAAAGACTGGGTTGTCTACTTTCAACAGGAAAAAAAAGTTTGTTTCTAGCTATTTTTGTTGTCCGGTAATCCCACGTGGAAACGAGGGTCTCAGACAGATACGTCAATGGCAGTCAATGATCATTTTCAGCAGGATGTGACAAGGACAAAGCCATTTTAATTATCTTCCATCTACATTAAAAACCCATATTGTCTTTTCATCATTTCATAGTTGAACCAAAATATTTCTCGTAAGCAGTGCTAACATATTGTAACAGTGTGTTGACCTTTTGTAGACGCAGAAGGAAAAAGCCAGGACCAAAATGTACGTCTTTCATGAATATGCTAATCTTGGATAAACCCAAAAGTTATTATGTTTGCCTATATCTCCTCCTACACACACCATATACGGCTGTAACTTTGAAATATGAAAGGCAGGAAGAATGAGCTGAGAGCCCAAGAGGAAATATTTGCAATAGTTGTTCGAGAAACGAGGAGAAAAGTATATTTAAACACGGACTCACTTTAAGGAAGCAACCTGCGGCTTCATAGAAATGTATTATTGTCTCTCCATGGCCTCGCACTAAAATATATTATTGATATGTTAGTGCCACATGAACCGGCCTGGACTCTGAGCAGCACAGGGACTGGCCTCCTGCTGGGACTCTGAGGAGCACAGGGACTGGTCTCCTGCTGGGACTCTGAGGAGCACAGGGACTGGTCTCCTGCTGGGACTCTGAGGAGCACAGGGACTGGACTCCTGTTAGTGCCCAGAGTCAGGACTAAACATGGGGAGGCTGCTTTTCAGATTCATGCTGCTAAAATCTGGAACAATCTTCCTGAAGATGTGAGACAGGCCTCCTCTCTGACAATGTTTAAAACCAGGTTAAAAACAGTGCTGTTTAGCTGTGCTACAACTGAGGGATTTTATTTTTTTTATCTTTCTTTTTAATGTACTGTTATTATTAATGCTATCTTGTCTGGTTCACTTTGAGTTGCCTTGTGTATGAATTGTGCTCTACAAATAAACTTGCCTTGCCTTAATCATTATACAACTGATGATAATATTTACGAGTCAGATTGCTTGGTTATTTTTGCAATCTAGAGCTGCACAAATCCTGGTTTGCGACACCGACATGCAATCACTTTGAGGAAAGAAAACGGGACCTCAGCCTTCCCTGTTGCAGTGCCTTTGCCGGGTCTCTATTGTGAGCTGCTGTAACGGTGATGCATGGCTCTAGTAACATTTGTGGAATGCTAATACGTTAGCGTTAAGCACAGAGCAGGATTAAAACGCAGTGGCAGTCGCTGGGGGTTCCTCCGGCCGTGCCCACAAGAGAGTCAGTCGGCTGCTGTGATTTCCCCAAAGAACTACGAAGGGAAAGTGGGTGAATTAGAATCGAGAAAGGTAAAAGCCCCGTGTGACGTTCACTGGATCAGGGCTTTTCCTGTAAAAATGCTGTGTTTTTTTCATACAAATGTAATGTAGGTATTTTGGGAAGACCACCCTCGCTCAGCCAATCAGCTCTCGACAGATGAAACTGCTTGTTATTATCTTAAGTAAGTAAGTATTAATTTATAAAGCGCATTTCACAGACCAGAGTCACAAAGCGCTTTACAATTATTTTTTGGACATTTTTCTCTTACTCCACAGCATCTTATTTACTCTCAACATTTTACTCATAGAAAACTCTCTGCTGAGACATGTATAATAAAAAAATACATACACCCAGGTTTTAATAATAATAATTAAAAAAAAAAGATTTTTCAAAGATGAAGGTTACTTGGCGTACCTCAGTAAATAGTTAAATTCTTTCTATTGAATTGAGCAGGTGACTTTTTATATGTAAATTTCAAATATTACATGTCATAAAATTCTCTGAGCCGTCAATGTGATGAGCAAAATAAGTAAAGTAAAACAACTACAATTCAGTTTGGACATTTATCCCACATTTATATATTTAAGGTGGACCAACATTCCAGCCTCACATTACCATTGTCTTCTCTCATGGCACTTATCGGCCTTTTGTTCACGCTGTATGTTTTACGGCACAAGCTGGATCCAGTGAGTCTCAGCTGGAGCTCAAGTGGATGATAATTATTTCCCATAAAACCAGAGGAGAAAGCACTGCACCAGGGAACATCTGTGCTCCGGACCAAATCATCAACACGGAAATTCTCACAGGCAAGTGCAGACAACCTTAAGGCCACCTGAGGCCCCCCGCGGTCCGCCACGTCCACAGCTGTTAGCCCGTTTCCTTATGTCAAGTGCTGTCATAGCGTCAGTGTTTACAACTTTATTCAGCTTCATAATGTACGTCAAACAGAAGAAGTTTTATTCTGTTTATGCAAAGACTAAACTCCTTCAAAAAACAGCTAAAAACTCATCTCTTCCTCCAAGTATACACCTCTTAGTTTCAACTTTATACTGTTCTTTCCTACTTTAAGATGTTTTTGTTTTGTGTGTCTGTCTAAACGTGTGTGTGTCATGAATTGTGAGGCGTTTTTGAGTTTTTAAAAAGCGCTAAATAAAACTATTATATATGTATATTATGTCTAAACCTTAATATCTCCCACCTTTTAGCGAATTAACTCCTCTTGTCATCTACAGACAACCGTTTGGGTTTTTCATTCTTAAATCATTAACGACAAAACAAGGAATAAAACCAGGATTTCTATCTTTGTGAAAAAGGTGTTGGTTATAGATTTGTTGTTGACAAAACTCTTGTCTATTCAGCTGTTATGGTCCCAGCTGGATTCGTCTGCATATCTGGCAACCTGAGTCAGGGAGAGTGTTGCCCTGTGCATGAAAGGCGCTCTACAAATAAACTTTGATTGATTGATTGATTGAGAGTGGGAGAGGCTGCTGTACCACTTTTGGCCACATTTTTACATACTGCTCCTTTAAATGTGACAGAAGTACGGGGGCGAGGATTTCTTAAAATAAATAAATAAAAGAAATTCACCCATTCAAGCACTTTCTGTGATGTGCGCAAAGTGCAAGAAAAAAAAAAAAACGATTCCAAATTAGCATATACTCTGAACTCTGAGCGCTTTGGGTGACCTTGGTCTGTAAAATGCGCATTATAAATAAACATTACCGACTTATACAAATGCATGAAAAAGGATGGATAGTTCTGTGGATATTGGACGATTCAGGATCTATTTGACTCATGTTATATCCGAAAAAAAGCCTTTCCCTCCATTTTTTCCCCCAGATTTACTAAGATTGCGAGAAAATACATGAACATAGTTGCTTTAGTCTGAGCACATAAAGAGTTCCATGCCAGGATTTTTATTTCAAGTGGACCAAAGTGCACTATTGTTCATTCATGAGAGCAGGTTGCTTCACTCGGATGCACTAAAAAGATGCACTTTGTAATCTAATTTACTCTTGCACTGATCAAAGAACTAAACATGTGAATTCCTTTGTTGAGCCTGTTGTTGATAACAATATAGTAAAGGGTTAATTGTCAGTTTTTCACATTAATAATTGAATGAGGCAAAATGTGCATCTGTCTTTGTATGTACTTTCTGAAAGCAGCTTTGGACCATGCACAATAATGGCCTGTGATTGGTCTATTTACAACACTCACTAACAAAAGTGCCTTCTTTCTTAAAACAGCGTGTGCTCTTCATTATTCAAGTCCAGTGTGAGACAAGGTGACATGGTGAACGCATTGATCCCTGATGCCTGAAAACAACATAAACAGTCTGTTCCAATGTGAAATCTCTTTAGTCCTGGTGTGTGGTCTGGTTTGGGGAAGTGAATGGCTGGATCCTGCGCTCAGACAAAGATGGCAGGAGAAGGCATAAGGTCTGTCTTTGTTTTAATCCCAAACTCGTAGGACTCTTTGCACCAGGAGCGGCGCAGCAGAGAGCTTTCCATAAACCTGTTGTGACATTTACTTTCCCGCTGACCCCCTCACAGCGATGGACCGGCTGCCATTATCCACACACTGTCTCCAGCACAAGGTCAGAGCAGCCTCTCCTTCACAATACATTTGATAGAGTAGCAGCAGCAGCCTTATCTGGCAGTGTGTATGTGTCTGCAAATGAATGTAAGGTGATTGTTCTTGTTGGAACTGACTGTGTGCTAATATGTGTGATATGTTCTGGGGACAGTAGCTCAGTTGGTAGAGCATTGGCCTTAAGCCCAGAAGGTCGTGGGTTCAATTCCCACCTCTGCACCTTCTCCACCGACTCCCACTGATGACTGCTGTCGTTGTGTCCTTGGGCAAGACACTTAACCCCACTTTGCCCAAAGCCCCCACTGAAAGATCAAGGCTATGCTCACACTCAGAGAGCAGCCGTCCTCCTGTGGACTCACCACCTGCAGAGGGTCAGTGAGGGGCTGGTGCTATGAGACTTGGGTGGCATCTCTGATTGCCACCCCCCTGACCCAGAAATGGATTAAAGGGAAGAAAATGGATGGATGGATGGATGTTCTGGGGATGATGAATGCTTGAAGACACGCCAGCAGCAACATGAGAAAGTCAAAAAAGCGTTCAAGGAAGTCATGCAGGACATAGATAAGCAGGTCTGCGGGTGAAAAACAGAGCTTTTGCAACTGAACCACACATTTGTATGAGCGGGTGATGTCATGTGAGTAAGTTATATGTAACAGAGAGTTTGATTTCAAAAGAATAATGTAAATAATGTCATTCACAGTCTGTGTACAGTAACCGTTCATGGTCATTAGCCACCACCCACTGCAGGTCCTCCACTAAACTCTAAGGACGCAGAGGAGTGGTCTTCCATGGGTTATTTCATGAAATGGTTAATGGAGTCTTGTCAAAAGATTGTTACAAATTGTCACTCAAATTCTGGTGAAAAAGCCAGAAATTCAAATGTAAATAAAAGAGCTGTGATTATAAATGCCACAGGAGTTTCCCTGTGTTCAGAGCGTGTGGATGAGTGGACAGTCTGAGCCAGTCACCTCCAGCCTGTGTCTGTGCTACAGTGGACTACACCACAGTGTTCCTCTGTCTGTAAGGGGGTGGGGGCAGCACGTTGCCCGCCTTCATGGCAGCTTCAGAGAGGTACTCCTGGTTCTCTGCCACAGCGGGGCGGATGCGTCCGTTCTGTCGGTAAAAGAAGCGCGTGCTGCAGTCCTGCAGGTACTCGGGGTTGTGCACTGAGGATTTGGGCGGGAGACTGTGCTGCCAGTATTCGGGATTGTCAAAAGTCGCCTTCTTGGCTTTTTTATCGAACATTATGGTGCTGGTGGTGCCTGAGTGCAGAGTGTGTCCTGAATGAGCGGGGTGCAGCGTGTGGGAGGGATAGGACAGGTGGGGCAGGACACCAGGTGGCAGGACGTATCCACTGGATGACACAGTGTGGCTGGATGTGGACGGAACCACCGTTTGAGAAACAGTCTTTGGAGCTGAGGCTTGTGCCACAGTTATGCCTCCTGCCAGGCCGTTCTTGTCCCCAGGGTTCAGAAAGGTGTTCAGATACAAGGGTTCGTTCACATACTCCTCCTCAGTGATGGGGGGCTGGTTCTTTGGGACAGTTCCTCCAGCCACACCCCCGACGTGCAGCGTGTGGCAGCCGCCGCCCTCCTTCACCACGTGGGCCTCTCCGTTCCTCCGGCGAGTCACAAAGGGATTTTCTTCCACAGGGTTTACATAATCTGCAACAAGACAGAAAACCCACAAAAGTCACATTTATGGCTTCGTTAAATGGCTTTAAGTTAAGATAAGCTCCTGCACACCTGTACTGTTCTTTTCTCTGGCTATGGCGTGCTCCTTCTCTGCTTTGGCGACTCGTTCTGCTAAAAGAACAGCGGGGTCTGCACTGTAGCGCTGTGCACTGCCATCGTCTGCGCCACATAAAAACAAATCAATGTTTTCACTTTCAGTTGTAAACAGGCTCTTCTTCAGTCTCTCAGACATACCTGGTGCTGCAGTGTTAACGGTTAACACGCTGGACCTGGGAGAGGCCTGTTTCCTCAGCGTCCCGTTGCAGCGCAGGTCTTCTTGGCCTCGGATGAAGCCGCCCTGACCCGTTAAACCCAGGTCCTTCCCTGGCCCGCAGCCGCCTGCAGAGGGAGCAGCAGGCACCACTCTGGGCAAAGAGGCCAGCATACCCTCCATACTGAAGCTGGGGTCCTGGTACGCAAACTGGCCCTAAGGGAACACAACATTTAGATTGTAGATCATAAGAGTTGCATAATAAGGAATTAAAGTAGCAATATGTCAGATTTTTATGTCAAGTCATCATTAAAGGGCCCTTTTCCAATACTTCTTTAACTGATAACAGTAGTTCAGCCGAAGTTCTAAGTTACTTTTCCAGCCTCTAAATCTTGTTATTGTTTTCATTTCGATGTCCCGCCCTCCACCGTTTCACCAATCAGAAAGTCTGTGATCCGGGCGCCAGAACTCACCGCGTGGAGCTAATCTCACTGGTAAAGTACCATGTGGCACAGAACTAAAAAAGGTCTCGTTATGATTCTCAAATCATTAACGACAAAACAAGGAATAAAACCAGGATTTCTATCTTTGTGAAAAAGGTGTTGGTTATAGATTTGTTGTTGACAAAACTTTTTGTCTATTTGTCTGCATATCTGGCAACCTGAGTCGGGAGAGTGTCAGAGCTTGCAGTACCACTTTTGGCCAGATGTTTACATACTGCTTCTTTGAATGTCCAACTTTTAGGAATCTGTTCTCTGCTCACTCATTTTTCATTACATTAATACATTTATAGTTTGTGACACTAATCTTTATAACCAGTTATTAGTCACCCTGATCTCTGTCGGAACGCGAAGTTTTGCGTTCCCAAAAAGTCAGTGGGATTGACAGACGTTTTGAAACCAGAAACTTGTTCGAATATTTCATCCCGAAAGAGGAGAATCAAGCTGGTTCGAGCTGTTATTTATCTGCTCTATTCAAATACAGAAGGCAGGGGAGACACAAAGCAGTGGCAAACAATGTTGTGACAGCATGACTGCCAAGGACGATTTAATTAAAAGAGTTTTAATTAAAAGGCTTCGTGTGGCTGTGGTCTTTGAAAGGCAGTATCAGCCCTGGCCTGCTGTGTGCATTTGTGCTTTTGCTTCTAACTCCAAAGTGTTTTAAGAAGCCGACTGGTCGCTTTATTCCGCCATTCCTCTTTTATTTAACAACAGAGGTGTGTTTTCGTAGATTCTCCCACGCAGTGCTGGGCGTCCTGTTGTCACTAATCAAACCCCACAGTCATTGTTATTTCAGGAAGGGGCAGCTGTCAGGATGGCACAGTGGTCCAGGTAGCTCCAGAGATCAGATACTTTTTCATTTTCAAATAACACATACAAGAATATTTTGGTCTCACAGTCAGTGACTCTGAAAACTACTTCGAAAACTACTTTTTTCCATATTAGACATGATTTTGTGGTTTTATTTGTTAACTACATATTGTCATGGTGTGGATTTAATGTTTGTATTTTGGATGTATTTTGACATCAGTTTTCTGTGGTTTTAGTTGTACTTCCTGTCTTCTCCTTATATGGCCTTATAGTGGAGAAGCTGGTCTGACATCTGCAAAAGACCAGTCTGGAAGATCTGTAACGGTTCCAGACTCAGAGCCTGTGCGTGCAAGTCCAATTCCTCTCCTGATTTTTTTGTCCAGCCTGTAGGTTAATTAATCAATCAATCAATGTTTATTTGTAGAGCGCAACGCAAAGTGCCTCACAACCCATATCACATCATGCATAAAGGTCAAACTACTACTACTAAACGCACAGTGTCGTAATGGGAGCCGCCATGATGTCTGCGCTGTCACCTACTGTGTTTTCCTGGATTTTTATTTGAATGACTTTTTATGAAATCTGTCATTTTGCAGTTCAGTGTTTTTGGGCTCATTTCATTTTACCCACGTGACAGAATGAAACTCATGACACATATGGCGTCTGTACTATAGCGCCCGCCAAAATACAAACAAAAACTGGAGAAATTCTTTGACACCATGCATGATTTCTTGTGTAAATATGAATCACAAGACACCACCATTTAACACAAGCATTGTAAAAAAAATTTATTGACTCCAAATCACTGCATTGTACTGACAGCAGGGGTTGCAACTAAGCTAATGTTTTGTGTGGATTGTCATAATATTTCTTGTGTTTTTTATGTATATGTAGATTTTAATGATTTGATTTGGATATGAAATGGGTTGTGAGGCGCTTTGTGTTGCCTTGTGTAGGAAAGGCGCTCTTCAAATAAACGTTGATTGATTGATCGATAAAACAGGAAGCACCTTTGGCTCTTACAAAGTCACACATGGTGCATATCTCTGTCTGAAGTTGTTTGAACCCAGAAAGAAAATGCACCAACAGTGTTCTTAGAGAATCAGCTTGAAAGAAAGAGGTGTGCATGGAAGAGAAAATATCTTACTCCCTTGGTTTTGGGTGAAAAAACCTCACAATTGTAAAAAAAAATGGAATTACCAGCGTTTTGCAAAGAGAAAGAGCACAAACGCAGCGTGTGCAGAGACTGGAGAGGAATTGGAGCTGTGGGATCACAATATTTTGTCCCTTGAACACTAGAGCCGAGGCACACACAGTAAACTCATCGGCACTTCACTTAAGGCACAATCTCCATGATGACTTTAAATCATCCCACTCCCATCATGCCTCAGTGCTGAGCCTCATGTGGAATCTATAATGGAAACAAGAGCCATCATAGTCAACAAAGCTCCAGAGAAAAGCTTTGGGAAGTGCAGTTAGTGTTGGAGAGGCGGGTCACTGATCTTCCAGATGAAGAATTGGTTTTAAAAAGTATATGTCTTGGAGAGTAAACATATTTTTGGAGTGGATTTTAGGCTATAATCTTTAGATAGATTTAAGCAATTCCACCTTTAGAAAAAAAAAACTTTATTTGTCCACAGAGCTGTTATACACACATCCCAGCTGACACACACACACACACATCCCAGCTAGTACACACACATCCCAGCTGACACACACACATCCCAGCTAGTACACACACATCCCAGCTGACACACACACACACACATCCCAGAGGATACACACACACATCCCAGCTAGTACACACACATCCAAGCTGACACACACACACACATCCCAGCAGATACACACACACATCCCAGCGGATACACACACACATCCCAGCTAGTACACACACATCCCAGCTGACACACACATCCCAGCTGACACACACACATCCCAGCTGACACACACACATCCCAGCTGACACACACACACATCCCAGCGGATACACACACATCCCAGCTGACACACACACATCCCAGCGGATACACACACATCCCAGCTGACACACACACACACACACACATCCCAGCGGATACACACACATCCCAGCTGACACACACACACATCCCAGCTAGTACACACACATCCCAGCTGACACACACACACACACATCCCAGCGGATACACACACATCCCAGCTGACACACACACACATCCCAGCTAGTACACACACATCCCAGCTGACACACACACACATCCCAGCTAGTACACACACATCCCAGCTGACACACACACATCCCAGCTGACACACACACATCCCAGCTGACACACACACACACACACAAACACACATCCCAGCTGATAGAGAAGTTTGGGCCAAAATATGGTCTTTTCTTGTCTGCAGACTGTTGCGTCCTTGGGAAACATTCTAAATAAAAGTTTTTCTTTCTCAGCTCATGTTCAAGAAGTTTTCAAGAGTTTTATGTAATAAGTTTTCCAACAACAGACACAAAGACTTAGAGAAGAGTGAACGCATGTAGCCCAAGGATAATGTGTAAAAGGCTAAGGTGCACTCCGATTGTTAAACGAAAGAACTTGTATATCTGCAAGTCTGTGATTTAGTTCTGGACTGGATATTTTCGTGTTTTTGTTGTTGATTTTTGTATTTGTGTCGTCTGATGGAAAGCAGTTTCCCTTTTAGCGACTCAGGGAAAGTAAAACAAAATCATATCTTGTAAATAAACAATTTGGAGCCTCCCTTGTGGAGCCAGGACACAGCTGACAAAGACATTCGGAAATATCAGTGGGAATATCCTGGTTAAATGAAAGCTAAAACAATTTAAAAAACTTCACTTTTTGTCCAATGACCGACAGATTAAACAACATACAATAGGCCACTTTTGATACAAATTAAGAGATTTTTTGTATTTATAAATTACATTTGGCTAGAGTGGCGTTGCAGTTGATATTCGCATTATATGATTTTTATTGAGCTAGAACCAGGAAGTATGATCTCATCACAGTCTCTCCAGGGTCGGCACTAGACCCTGGAGAGTGCCGACCCTGGCACCTCCAACTGGTTCAGAACGCAGCAGCCAGACTTCTCACTGGTTTTAACAGAAGGGAGCACATCACCCCTGTTTTAGCGTCCCTCCACTGGCTCCCTGTGCGATTTAGAATTGATTTTAAGATTTTACTGATTACTTTTAAAGCTCGTTTAGGTCTGGCACCAAGCTATATTTATGAACTTTTAACCCCCTACGAGCCCCCCCGCAGCCTTAGATCCTCGGGCAGGTCCTTGCTGACCATTCCAAGGTCGAGGCTCCGGACGAAAGGTGATCGAGCCTTTTCTGTCCGGGCTCCTCGGCTTTGGAACGACCTGCCCGAGGAGATAAGGCTTGCACCATCAGTATCCTCTTTTAAATCTCTTCTTAAAACCCACTTTTATAAAACAGCTTTTAATTGTCAGCTTTAAACTTATAATGTTGTATTTTACTGTCGGTCCTGTCTGTTTTGTGGTCTTGTGTTTCCTCTGTTTGTCTTGTCTTCTTGCATTCATTCTTATTGTTTTAACTTTGTATTATGACTGATGTATTGTTTATTATGCTGTGCAGCACTTTGTAAACATTGTTTTTGAAAAGTGCTTTATAAATAAAGATTTATTATTATTATTATTATTATTTATATACGGAATCAGGACGGAAGTGGAAGTAATACCTCTACTTTCAAATTAGTTTCAGACTAATACGTCCTTAAGTGGTGACTGGTTAAGTTTGAGGTGTCTGTGTAAGATGGTTAAGGTTAGGGTTAAGGTGGGTCTGAGTAAGATGGTTAGGTTTAAGGTGGGTCTGAGTAAGGTGGTTAAGGTTAGGGTTAAGGTGGTCCGAGTAAGATGGTTAAGGTTAGGGTTAAGGTGGGTCTGAGTAAGATGGTTAAGGTTAGGGTTAAGGTGGGTCTGAGTAAGATGGTTAGGTTTAAGGTGGGTCTGAGTAAGATGGTTAAGGTTAGGGTTAAGGTGGTCCGAGTAAGATGGTTAAGGTTAGGGTTAAGGTGGTTCTGAGTAAGATGGTTAAGGTTAGGTTTAAGGTGGTCCGACTAAGATGGTTAAGGTTAGGGTTAAGGTGGTCCGAGTAAGATGGTTAAGGTTAGGGTTAAGGTGGTTCTGAGTAAGATGGTTAAGGTTAGGGTTAAGGTGGTTCTGAGTAAGATGGTTAAGGTTAGGGTTAAGGTGGTTCTGAGTAAGATGGTTAAGGTTAGGTTTAAGGTGGTCCGAGTAAGATGGTTAAGGTTAGGGTTAAGGTGGGTCTGAGTAAGATGGTTAAGGTTAGGTTTAAGGTGGTTCTGAGTAAGATGGTTAAGGTTAGGGTTAAGGTGGTTCTGAGTAAGATGGTTAAGGTTAGGTTTAAGGTGGTCCGAGTAAGATGGTTAAGGTTAGGGTTAAGGTGGTCTGAGTAAGATGGTTAAGGTTAGGTTTAAGGTGGTTCTGAGTAAGATGGTTAAGGTTAGGTTTAAGGTGGTCCGAGTAAGATGGTTAAGGTTAGGGTTAAGGTGGTCTGAGTAAGATGGTTAAGGTTAGGTTTAAGGTGGTCCGAGTAAGATGGTTAAGGTTAGGGTTAAGGTGGGTCTGAGTAAGATGGTTAAGGTTAGGTTTAAGGTGGTCCGAGTAAGATGGTTAAGGTTAGGGTTAAGGTGGGTCTGAGTAAGATGGTTAAGGTTAGGGTTAAGGTGGTCTGAGTAAGATGGTTAAGGTTAGGTTTAAGGTGGTCCGAGTAAGATGGTTAAGGTTAGGGTTAAGGTGGTTCTGAGTAAGATGGTTAAGGTTAGGGTTAAGGTGGTTCTGAGTAAGATGGTTAAGGTTAGGGTTAAGGTGGGTCTGAGTAAGATGGTTAAGGTTAGGGTTAAGGTGGTTCTGAGTAAGATGGTTAAGGTTAGGGGGAAGGGTGGGTTGGGGTTATTCTATGGGAATGGCAAGTTAAGTTTATGCATGGATCTATAAGTTTAGGTAGTTGGTTTTATTTACTTCTGCTTCCGTCCCAATTCCGTACATGAGCTGAGTGGATAGCACTCTCCTGGGTTCGAATCCCGGTCGGACCAGGGCCTTTCTGAGTGGAGTTTGCATGTTCTTCCCGTGTCTGCGTAGGTTTCCTCCGGGAACTCCGGTTTCCCCTACCACTAAAAATATGTCCAATAGTTCTGGCATGCGCCTCCTGTACTGGCGACCCCGCTCCCATCTCTGTGTGGAGTGAGAGACTAATGCCCAAAATTAACAATTGTAAACCGCTTTGAGACTCAGATCTGCAGTGAAAAGGCGGTATATAAATAAAGATTTCTTACTACTACTACTACTACATGATCCAGGGCTGACCGTCTCTCCATGACCTTACACTAGTATCTCTGTCAGAGACTGGTCTGCAAGGACTCTGAGGAGCAGAGCCTCAGCCTCCTCATGGCCTCCTGCTGTTGCTGAGAGTCATGACTAAATATGGGGAGGCTGCTACAATTCCGAATAGTCTTCCTGACAATGTGAGACAGGCTTTTACTCTCACAATGTTCAAATCTAAGAAACAGTGACATTTAGCTGTGTGTAAAACCAAATTATTATATCTTCAGTTGTTATGAATGCGCTGTTATAATTTATGATTTTGAATGCTTTGTATGACTTGTATAATTTGAGTTGCTTAACAAAAAGTTGAATCTGAATAAACTTTCCTACTTATTGATTATCAAAACCATTTTCTGGATAAAATGCATCCAGAAGTGTCACTGTGAAAGGCCTGTAGAGTGAGCAGCGAGTCTACGTGCCGACCCGTACCTTGCTGGTCTCCATGCGGGGGCGGGGTGGGTAGGCCAGAGGGGGGTACCCATGTGGCAGCAAGTATTCCTCTGCATCCATCAGTTCCTCCAACTCCTCCTCCTCCATGAGATTCTGAAACAACTTACTGTCCGTCGGACCGGGCAGCTTCATCCGGTCGTCCCCCTGAAGACAGTGGGTCAGTAGTTCAGCATGTATTAATAGAAGAATTATTCCTGAACGTAAATGAGGCAACAAAGGGCGGCTTAGAGGTTAAACACGGGTGGAATAAATGCAAATGCGTTGTAGAGGTTCTGTGTTGGTTAGAAGAGGTTAAATTCAGCTGATTGGTTCTCATACTGCAAGGTTACGAGCGTTACAATAGTAGTAAAGTTAGGAATGGATAATACAGTAAATGTTTATGTCTTGGCAAAACAGACAATGTGATTTTTTTCAGGCTTAGTGAGAGAATCCCGACAACACTCACTTGAATAACCAAATATCTCTGTGGGTCCCGGGCCATTCGCGTGAACTCTGCCGCCAGCTCTTTGAACTTTGGTCGACTGTCTGCATCAATCATCCAACCTGAAATAATATACACAGCTTAAAAAACAGTTTTGGGACATTTGCAGTAACAATAGAATGGATGAATGAAGTGAAAGAGCTCTAGTGTTTGCAGTCTTCTCTGTCTGGTACGCACTGGGGTAGTCTTGCACAGTTTTTCCAATGGGGTTTTACTGCAAATGGCATATAAATTCTTGTGTTTTGTATCTTGTATCGGACAACACAAACAAGAAAACATGTGTACTTATGTACCAAGTCAACGAAGGCCAACTGGTCAACCATTGTATCCGAGTCATGATAAAGAGGAGTGAGGCTGTGATCTCTTTGGAGAAAAGGTGGTCCCTGTTTATTAGGAATGTAGAGAAAGGTATCAAGGAGGGGCAAAAGTGCGAGAAACTTCCCAATTTATCTAACCTAGTCGTAGCATACTATTGTACAAATTCAATTTCATACTAAGGTCTAGATTCGCTCCATTGAGCTCTGTTAACAGGTGGTGTGGTTATTGTAACTGCTGTAACCACTCCAAACCACCAGGTGGAGCAGTTATACTGTCGTTGCTACTTGAGACCTGCACTAAAGAGACTTGTTACGCACCCGAGAATCGTGTCACTCGTATGTATAACAAACTACACATTAGAAGTACAAAAGGTGGAAGGGGTTAACTCCTCAGATTCAGATTGAAACAATTCGATCTGAGTTTACCGTGACGTATGTACAGCGCCCGAGTTGCTAGCATTTAGCCTAGCTTTAGCCATCTCCTTTGCCACAAACGGAGCCTTTGGGGAGTAGCGCCACAATCTTTGCCAGAAATTGCATTTACTAAACATTCCTCTTGCTCCGGGTTCAATCGGTGATATTTGGATTGAACCAGAACAGATCATTTTACTATCGCATTCTCCGCCCAAACTACAACCAGCAACTTCGCCGCAAACTCTTGACATCACCGACATCTACTACAACACCCGCCTCCCCCGCTTGCTGATTGGTCGGATATCCATCCAATGTAAAGGCATTCACTGGGACCAGACCCAGACGTAGGGAAACGATAATCGATCAGAGTTTACGGGTGGCTAAGGTCAGGCTACAATATACCCCCCAATTATAAAATGTATATTAAGGTTTACAGGGCAGACATGCACAGTACATATCTATAATCAGTAACAGGGACTGCATTACTGGGTTCCTGACGGTACAGTAGAGAGTCCACCGTCGCTTTTGCCTTATTCAGTTTCTCATTAGAATCATCAAATAACAGTTTCAGTTTTCTGCTGTTGACTAATACAAACAAAGACCTGATGTCTGTTATTCTCAGATCCGTGTGTATTTGAGGGTTGTAATGATTCTGATTCCAGTTTGAAGATAAATACAGTTTTATCAGTGGAGTGGCCATATGGAGGGATGTG